TAGAATAGAATAGAATAGAATAGAATAGAATAGAATAGAATAGAATAGAATAGAATAGAATAGAATAGAATTTTTTTTATTGGCCAAGTGTGATTGGACACACAAGGAATTTGTCTTGGTGCATATGCTCTCAGTGTACATAAAAGAAAAGATACGTTGATCAAGAATCATAAGGTACAACACTTAATCATAGTCATAGGGTATAAATAAGCAATAAGGAAACAATATCAATATAAATCGTAAGGATACAAGCAACAAAGTTACAGCCATACAGTCATAAGTGGAAGGAGATGGGTGGTGGGAACAATGAGAAGATTAATAGTAGTGCTTATAAGGAAAATCAATATAAGATGCTGTACAGGTAGCACCTAGCCCCGGCCAGGATAGCTAAAATATATCCCAATATGAGCCCCAATTGTTGGAAATGTGGCCATCACCAAGGTACCTTCTATCATTGCTGGTGGACCTGCCCCCAAGTGAAAAAATTTTGGAAAATGATCTGGAAATGGCTTATGGAAATAACAAAAGAAAATATTGATTTTGAACCGAAGATCTTTCTCCTGGGAATCCTGAAAACAGAATACGAAAAAAAGAAGAAGTACCTAATCATTCATATAACGACAGTGGCAAGAATAACCTACGCCCAATATTGGAAGGAGAAAAAAACCACACCCGAAGAATAAGTAATTAGGAAAATATTAGAGTGCGCTGAAATGAATAAGCTAACATTAGAACTTAACGAAAGAGAGAACACGGAGTATTATAATGTGTGGGAGCTGTGGTACGAGAGGATAGAGAAAAGAAACAAAAAGTGAAATTTGAGAAGTATTAAGGTTAACTAATAATGATCATAAAGAGTTAACTATTACCATGTACATTACTGAACTAAGGTTGCAATCTATGTAAATAACAAGTCAATAACATGTATATAACTGTATATAATTACTTGTAATAATACCCAAACCATATACAAGCAAAGATACAATACTATGTAAATAATATGTAAATAATTTAACACCACGGAACCGAAAAACGCAGAATTGTATTTCTATATTTGCACAATAAGAATCAATAATAATAAAAAAAAGATTAATAGTAGTGCAGACTTAGAAAATAGTTTGACTTATCTTATCTTATCATTTTATCCTAGGAATGATTGATTGAAAGAAAGAGTAGAAGAAGAGGACAACCAGCCACAAGGTGTACAGGCTCAATTAAGCAGCAATGGTACACTCCTGGAATATCTGAAGGACAAAGATGGATCAGAGTCTCCTGAAGAAAATAAATTTGTGGGCAGAGAATTGGGGTGAATCCTATCACTGAATTTCTCCAGGGGAAGGAGAACCGATCAATATATTTCTCAAGAGCAATGAGAATATTAGCATCTTATCCCTTGAGGCATACATGACCAGGTTTAAACTATCTTACTTCAGATATGTTATATGAAGATCCAAGCTCTCACAGAGAGGGACTCCTCCGGGTGCCGTCGGCCAAACAATGTCGGCTGGTGGCCCCCAGGGGGAGACCCTTCTCTGTGGGGGCACCTACTATCTGGAACGAACTCCCCCCGGAGATACAGAGGATCCCGGATCTATGCACCTTCCGCCGTGCGCTCAAGACCTTTTTATTTCACCAGGCTGGTCTGGCCTAACCTCTCCCATTCTCTTTTTAATCTAAATTTTAATGTAAATTTTAATTTGTACTTAACCTGGGGTTTTAAATTTGTCTTGGGCTAAATTGATTTAATTCGATTTTACTCCTGCTCTTAAATTTTTGTATTCTATGTGTTTTATCTTGTGCCTTTTCACCACCCTGAGTCCTTCGGGAGTAGGGCGGTATATAAATAAAATAAAATAAAATAAAATAAAATAAAATAAAATAAAATAAAATAAAATAAAAGGGTGGAAGGAAAGAGAAGAATGGATGAGTGGCATCAGAATGGATGGGTTCAGTTACATAGTGATGAATGAACTATTAGAAGACCTGAAGTATAAGGTTAGGGTCAAATCATCATGAAGAAAATATATCTATTTGGTTGCTAAGAGTTCACACAGACTTGATGGCACACAATCAATCAATCAAATTCTTAAAAAAACTCCTTGGAGGAGGTTCACCTTGGGATTTAATTCTTTAATTTGTGATTTGGAATTGGATGAATTGTCCCAAAGGTGCTTTTTCAGCAGACAACTGGACTTCCTTGTTTTTTCTTTGAAGACGTTTTGCTTCTCATCCAAGAAGCTTCTTCAGCTCTGACAGGATAGTGGGGAATGGAAGAATATGTTCAGTGGTGAAATGTAAAATTTGTTACTACTGGTTCTGTGGGCGTGGCTTGGTGGTGGGGGTAATGTAACTGGATGGGCATGGCCAACTTTTTTTTCTTTTACTTTTAAAAGCATTTTTTCTACAACCTTAAGAGGTTTCAGGGATCCTCAGAGACTTTTAAAGGCATTTCTTTTTTTCTTATAACCTCTTCGGCCAAAGAGGTTGCAGAAAAAAATTGCTTTTAAAAGCCTCTGACGATCAGGCAACTCAGCTGGGATCGTCAGAGGCTTTTAAAAGCATTTTTTTCTACAACCTCTTTGGCCAAAGAGGTTGTAGAAAAAATGCTTTTAAAAGCCTCTGACGATCCCAGCTGAGCTGTGTGATCATCAGATGCTTTTTTTTTTTTTTACTTTTAAAAGCATTTTTTTGGCTGAAGAGTTTGTAGAAAAAATGCTTTTAAAAGTAAAAAAAAAAGCCTTTGATGGTCGCGCTGCTCAGCTGGGCATGGGGGGGGCAGGGATTTTTGCTACTGGTTCTCCAAACCACCCGCCACCATCGCTACCGAATCGGGCGATCCGGTCCAAACCAGGAGCATTTCACCCCTGAATATGTTCCTTGCAGACAGCTGGTCATTTGCCTCCTTTTAGAGGGTCATTGAAGCACTTGGAGATTTATCTGTGTCCTCAGGGTCACCTGAGTGGTGCTCCTGGTTTCTGTAGTCTGCAGTTTTTTCTCTGGGAATCCATTCCTACTCCCGCACCATTCAAAGGGTGTTCATCCCAGATTGTATAGCTAAAACTCTGTGAAGATTCTCAGTCCTCCAGGCTACGGTTGTCCCAAAGATACTTTTTCAGGAGGCAATTGGACTTTCTTGTTTTTTCTTTGAAGACATTTTGCTTCTCATCCAAGAAGCTTCTTCAGCTCCGACAGGATGGTGGGGAATGGAAGGATTTATACTCTTTGTAGACAGCTGGTCATTTGCATCTGAATGAGCTGAAGAAGCTTCTTGGATGAGAAGCGAAACGTCTTCAAAGAAAAAAAAAACCAAGAAAGTCCAGTTGCTACCTGAAAAAGCAACTTTGGGACAAACATGACCTGGATGACTGAGAATCTCTACAGAATTGGGTAAATTATCGCTTTTAATTAAATTATGGCAAATGCAAACATTTGTAATGTAAGGATTCCTACTTGGTTTAGAGTTCCCCACAACTGCCCATAGTTGTTCTGTCCCCGTACCCCACACGCACCCCCACAGATGGCCCGGAGTTAATAAGCCACATGACAAAACTCTTTGAAGATAAAGCTGGCAGCAGCCCAGTGGCTAGCTGCCAATTCAGACTTTACTCACACAAAACAAAGATTAGACTGCAAGCATTCCGATAAAACAGGCAGAGTGTCAATAATACAAGGATTAATCCAATTGCAGTCCAATAAAGCAGGCAAAGTCCAGTAACGCAGAGATCATGGAGTATTTCCAGTTTTTGCTCGTCACAAACTGAACCGGCCACCACACCCACATTTATACCTGTGGGGTGTGGTTCAGTGACTCAGCTAATCTCTGGCACGCCTTCCCCTCTGCTGTGCACACTTCTCCTGGCGCCTCTGTTGAGGGTCCAGCCAGCACTTATCTTCCTCGTCGCTGTCCACCTGTGGCTGCGGGGACATGCTTGGCTCTGAGCCTATCATTTGGCCTTCGGTGTCCTCCGGAGGCATTGCCAGAGAGGAGGGTCCTGGAGAGGGAGGACTTGCCAACTCCTCCCCCTCACTCTCAGAGTCTGCATCCGTCGATAGCCCAGGCTCAGGCAACTGAGCCACAACAATAGTGGTCACCACATACCTATGTAACAAAGGGGTTGAATGGGCAAGCGTAGGTTGCAGATGGCTGCAGATGGGCTGAAGCAAACCCCTCCCAAGTCCCAACTGCATGTTTTGGAGAGGTGCGCATACTGCATGTTGATTGGTTGATCTGACTTCCTGTTCTGGACTTTGCTCTTTCAGTGCCTCCTAGCCAGAACATTAACATTTGCAAATGTATGAATGCAACAGCTACGCAACCATTTGCGAATGACACATGCATATGTTCCCTCACATGACTGCCGGAGAAGTCTGCTTGAATCCTAAGCGGTGAGAATCGCAGTGCCTCTGAAAAAGTGTAACGGGAGGATTTACAAATGTTGTTTTAAAATTGTTTTTTTTTAATTTTAATTTAAATTTTAAATTGAATGTTAACTGGGATAAGAAATGAAATTCAGGGGAGGATACATCCAAGAGAAAAATTCGTATAAATTCCCTCTCCCTCACCCACCCTCCCAAATAAAATTAAAGAACTGATTTAGAAATTCACACATCCCTTTCCTAAACGTCCTTTTCAATTTCATGCAAATCTGTCTTTCAGACGAATAAACAAAGAAGGCCTGAATGAATTGCAATATGAAATGGGAAGCACTTAGAGGTGAAGCCGTGAAGAAGAAGTGAAATGGACAGGAAAAGAAATGATTCGCAGCAGTGGTGAAATTCAATTTTTTTTACTACCGGTTCTGTGGGTGTGGCTTGGTGGGCATGGTGTGGCTTGGTGGATGTGGCTTGGTGGGTGTGGCAGGGGAAGGATACCGCAAAATCTCCATTCCCTCCCCACTCCTGGGGGAAGAATATTGCAAAATCCCCATTCCCACCCCACTCCTGGGGGAAGGATACTGCAAAATCCCCATTTCCACCCTACTCCTCAGGGAAGTATACTGCAAAATCCCCATTCCCACCCCACTCCTGGGGGAAGGATACTGCAAAATCCCCATTCCCAGCCCACTCTGGGACCAGCCAGAGGTGGCATTTGCCGGATCTCCAAACTACTCAAAATTTCTGCTACCGGTTCTCCAGAACCTGTCAGAACCTGCTGGATTTCACCCCTGATTTATAGGTTCTACATCTAGCAGTCTTGCCCAAATCATGATTGAAACTTACTGCCTTAGACAACAGAGCAGTGGGGGAAAAAAATCTCAGATAGATAACACCACTTTTTTCATCCCTGCATTGCCTTGGATGCTTCAATCCTATGAAGAAAATTTCCTGCGTTGATAAGAAGTCAACACAGGTTCAATTTTGCTCAAACTTCAGATACGATCCCTTCTCGGTATGCCATAGTGCCATGTGCTTTTCTGCTTCAGTGTGAAAGGTTTTGAAGGTTTATTTATAGCTGGCTATTGCCGATGGAAGAAAAAGGGGGAAATTTAATGTTTTCATTATGTGTTTGGACAAGGCGTGTATTTTAAGTGCTCAATTTTAAAATCAGACACAATGTTCAAGGGGGCTTAAATGACTTCCTAATAGCATTCAGCAATTTGGATGCACTTAGAAATGACATTGCCTGTTTGGGTAGATCTGTTGTTGAAATGCCATTTATCAAAATGGCTTCCAAAACACTGTATTACATAAGCATCTTTAGGCACCTACCTATCACTGTCAAATCTAGCTTTTTTCGATAGTTCACTCCCCAACCATTAAAGGCACATTCATGCCCATCACAACATTCCTTTTTGAGTAAGCAACATCATACAAAGGGCACAAAGCAAATAAGAACTATCAAGCTAAGGAAATTAAAGGCATTAAACCAAAAATAGAAAAAAACAAAACAAACCCTAGCTAATTCTAGTTTACATTGTACCGTTCACTAAATCTATCCTTTCTTTTCTGTTATTCCAAACTCTGCTTGTTTTGTTCATGCTTTTATATCTATGGAGATTGTCAAAATTGAACCACCCTCTCTCAGCATAGGGGAAAGGATACAATATCATCTATCTCCAATCTACAACACGGTCCTTTCAACAGTTGCAAGAAGGCTCCACACCCACTTGCACCACTCAGGTGTCCCTGAGGACACAGATAAACCTCCAGGTGGCCTCAATGACTGGCTAAAAGGATGCAAATGACCAGCTGTCGGCAAGGAGTATAAATCCTTCCATTCCCCACCATCCAGTCAGAGCTGAAGAAGCTTCTTGGATGAGAAGCGCAATGTCTTCAAATGAAAAAACCAGAAAGTCCAGTTGCCTCTTGAAAAAAAGCACCTTTGGGAGAAGTTCATGCTTTAAAAAATTCTGTTCTTACTAATTTTGGCCATGTCATAGGATCAAACTCAATGGAAAAGGCAATTATGTTCAGAATGGTCAGTGGTTAAAAGAAACGGGGTTGCCCATTTGATGGCTTGACACCATCAAAGTGTTCTGTCCCCGTCTCACACACGCACCCCCACAGACAGTCAATAGTGAAATAAACCAGCCGACAAAAGTTTCTCTAAGAGCAGAATTGGCAGCAACCCAGTGGCTGGCTGCCAAGAGTCTTTTACTTACGAAGGGAGTGTTTTTCAAAGCCAACACACAACAGGTAAAAGAATATTCAAAAGTCCAGCAATGCAGAGAGGTTTGTTCAATATCAGTTTTTGCTCGTCACAGAGCTTGAATGGCCACCACACCCCCTTTTATCCCCTGTGGGGTGTGGTCCAGTGACTCAGCCTAATCCCTGGCATGCCTCTTCCTCTGCTGCGCACGCTTATCTCTGCGACGCTGTCGAGGGTCCAGCCAAGACTCATCATCATCATCATCATTACTGTCCACCTGTGGCTGTGTGGAAGTGCTTGGCCCTGGGCCTATCTTTTGGCCTTCGGAGGACACCGGAGGCATTGCCAGAGAGGAGGGTCCTGGAGAGGGAGGCCTTGCCAACTCCTCTCTTTCACTCTCGGAGTCCTCTCCTGCTGATAACACAGGCTCAGTGATCGGAGCCACAACACAAAGCTGATACCACCCAGAACACAGAATAGCTGAAAGAAGCTGTACCAGATTGGAAAACATGAAGAGACCTGGCCCATAGAACATTTGTTTGTTTGTTTGTTTGTTTGTTTGTTTATTTGTTTGGCTGTCCACACACACACACACACACACACACACACACACACACAGTGTTTTTCTATCAAGGCACCTGGTCTACCCCAATATGTGGGAGGGAGCATACTGCTTCCCTTTTGCCTTTCAGCTCTGATCCAGGAGCCCTCGAGCAGTCTCATTCAAGACAAACCATTTTGTACCAAATTTATATTTCGCTGATAAAGAAATAAAGGGAGACTAGTATAGATCTATTTCAAGCTACTTAGCTCTCATCAGCTGATTATTTCTTTATCAGCAAAATATAAATTTGGTATAAAACGGTTTGTTGTGAATGCGACTGCTTGAGGGCTCCTGGATTGGAGCTGAAAGGCGAAGGGAAAGCAGTATGCTCCCTCCCACATGTTGGGGTAGACCAGGTACCTTGATAGAAAAACACTTAATTTTTCTCCTGGCTCAAGCTGATGAAGGGAGGAGAACTTGTGGCTCGGAGGTTAATACAACTGCCTAATATGCGGGCAGCCCAAGTTCGAATCTGAGTAAGGGTATGGCTAGCTGATGAGAGCTAAATAGCTTGAAATAGATCTATACTAGTCTCTCTTTATTTCTTTATCAGTGAAATATAAATTATCTATCTGTCTGTCTGTCTGTCTGTCTGTCTGTCTGCCTGCCTGCCTGCCTGCCTGCCTGCCTGCCTATCTATCTATCTATCTATCTATCTATCTATCTATCTATCTATCTATGCCAGAACCGAAGAAGCTTCTTGGATGAGAAGTGAGACGTGTTCAAGAAAAAACAAAGTTCAATTTCCTCTTGAAAAAGTACCTTTGGGACAACCATGACCTGGGTGACTGAGAATCTCCATAGACATTTCCCATTTGCTCTTCCTCCACATATTTGTTTTGCAACCCAGTTCTCCTTTGTTCTCTTTCACTAGGAGTGCGCCAGCTCAATGTAAATATTTGATAAAGATTTGCTCCCTTTTGTATTCAATGAGCATTCATTCAGCACTCATATATTCTTGCACTCACAATTCTAAAGTGTCTTGCACTCCTGCATTCCGCTCATGTTTAGGTTTCTCCTCACACAACCCCTCTCTTCCGACTACAACAAAGCAGGAAGGAGCACTCTTATAAACAGCAATCTTAGCTTCCTTTGACAAACATTCATTCCCGGATGCACACCATATATTACCATCTGTCTTCCTGCCAGCACTTAAGTATCTCAAATTTTCTCCTTGCATTGCTTCATCTTTCAGAAATGTCCTCGCAAACTACACAATTTGTGTGCGCTGTTTTTGTTCTACCATTAATGTCAAGTTCGCAATCGTTCACTCCATTTTCCCTGGGAAACACGACCTACGCATGGTCTTTGGTGTTAATTTTCATGTCCGCACTCCACATTACGCCATGCAATCAAGAGAGTGTTATTTGAGCTTTCAGGCAACAACAAAATATAGCAATAGCTGTCAGGTTTCGATATCGTCTCAAATATGTTTAGACATGTTCTGCCCAGAGGTGGGTTTCACACAATTTTACCACTGGCTCACCTAAAATGTGAGCATGCATGGCTTGCATGCATCCACACGGCTTAGAAAACATGGCTAAATAGGATGGCATAGTTGCCACTACCGATTCACTTGAACTGGTCCGAACCTGCTGAATACCACTGCTGGTTCTGCCCCATAATGCCTTGCAGCACTCTCTGAGTGAGCATATATACACCAATCTGGCTCCTCATTTTACTGACTTCAGAATGATGGAGAGCTGAGTCAACCTTCCGCCCCGTCAGGATCGAACTCCAGGCTGTGGGCAGAGTTTACCTGCAATAATGCATTCTAACCACTGTGCCACCATGGCTCCTCTGGTGCTAATATCTGAGGCAACCCTACGTTAGCCTTAATAAAGCTGTACTGCACTTTGGAAAATGTGCTCACTGTTACCTTTCACATCCTTTACAGTAAGATTTTGCCAAAGATATGCCAAAGAGCCATGATGGCACAGTGGTTAGAATGCAGTATTGCAGGCAAACTCTGCCCACTGCCAGGAGTTCGATCTTGATGGGTTCAAGGTTGACTCAGACGTCCATCCTTCCAAGGTTGGTAAAATGAGGACCCAGATTGTTGGGGGCAACCTGCTGACTCTGTAAACTGCTTAGAGAGGGCTGTAAAGCACTATGAAGTGGTATATAAGTCTAAGTTCTATAGCTATACTGAACAGATTCCTTGTTGTGACCTAGGCTTCCTGAGTCATTAAAACACACAAGTAGTCCCAAAAACCTCTTTTATTGCAACAGCTGTGAATTACTTTCATTCACAGCTGAGTCCCAATTAGTTGCAAAAAGTCCTTCAGGAGAAGTCCTTCGGGATAATCACCAACCTTTATCTCCCTTGACACGCTGCCAAAGACCTACTTGGCAAAGCCACACGGAGTCCAGAATCAAACAGAGATGCTGACTGGGAACAGAATTATCAACATTGCTTTCCTGCAAAGGGCCCACGTGCCTTTGTTCCTCTTTTAAGCCTTATGGGAGGGGCCAATCATCTCCAGGCCTTACTCCCGAGTCGTCCCTTTTGCTTTAATTGTTCTTGCCTTCTGGCAGCTCTGCGCATGCACACACTAGGAACAGGCTCCACCTGTT